GGAGTTGAAACATAGCCTAATCCTCTCACAATTTTATGATAATAATCAGGGGGTTTTCCTTCTGGAGTGAAAGACCGAATTGGTGTTCGTCTTTCTTTTTTGAAGTTTAAACCTTTCGGGTTATTAAAGTCATAACCCATCTTCTTTATCATATAGAGGGACTTGGACCCATAATGATGGAATTGTGGGATTCTGAGGTCTTCCTCTAAGCTCCCATGATCAGTTGCCCCAGGGTTAACTTTCCTAAAATAGATTGGTCTTTGGCCTCTCTTCTTGGTTGGGACCATGAAGAAGGCTCTCTGCGCGTCTTTCATCTCTTCGAATGTAGTGAAAGATGATTTGAGCAGCAGGCTAAGTGATGCTTCGGTATATAATGCATGCCATGGATCTGTTCCTGCGTCTGCATCAGGGGATACATCAGACAAGTAAGTCAAGTTGAAATTTTTATTAATGTACCACTCACCCTCACTAGATACTATAGACACTAAAAAATATCAAAAAATAAAGCAAGGTTGAACCTCGCTACAAGCATGACGAGGCTCGTCATCATGATGAACCTCATCTTAGCTAACGAAGCCCATCAATAGAGTCAAAGTTCGTCATTGAAAACGAAGTTCGCCTAGAGAAAAAAATCCTCTAGAAGATGAAGCTCATCCAAGAGACGAAGCCATTTACAAACGAACCTCATCAAACAGTGCCTCACCCTTCAGAAGACAAAGTTCGTCCAAAAATGAAGTTCGTCATTGAAGATGAAGTTCGCCATTGCCATTATTGACGAACCTCGTGCATAGCCGAACTTCATCTGTCATAATTTTCAGAGGCTATATTTAAGGAGGGTTAATGACCACTAACTCACCCATTTAAAGAGAGTTAATGACCACTAACTCACCCATTTAAATGAGAGTTAATGACCACCAACTTTCTTATTTTAAGAGGGAGTTAAAGCCTATTAACTCACTCCATAATGCTCCTAAGCCTATAAATAGGCATGATCAACATGAAAGAAAAAAGAGGAAGGGATTCAGAGGATAGTCAAAAGCCTATCTCTCCTCCACTCTCATTAAGCTTGATAGATCATTATCATCAGCTCATCATTTGGCCTTGTAGGCACTAAAATTTCCAAGAGACAAACGAGTGTCAAGGCTCACTCAAACATGACGAGGTTCATCACAATGGCGAACCTCGTCTTAGTCAAAGACAAGGCTTTACACGCAGCAAGGCTCCACATCAAAGACGAGGTTCGCCACACAGCAAGGATCCACATCAAAGACGAGGCTCGTCACGCAGCGAGGATCCACATCAAAGACGAGGCTCACCACGCAGCGAGGCTTGACATCAAAAGACGAAGCTCATTATTAGAAACGAGGTTCGAAGTTCATCATTGGAGGAGAAGATCATTAGTGAAGACGAAGCTTGTCAAAGGAAGTTCACAAGACTTACTACGCAACTGGACTCAGCTATTGAAGACGAAGTTCGTTAGTGAAGACAAAACTTGTCAGACGAAGTCAGTGAAGATAAAATTTGTTAGGAGAAGTTCGCTATACTATGAGGCAAGCCTTATTAGATAAACCTCGTCATGCATTGAGACTCGTCTAATCTGACGAACCTCGCCACGCAGCGAGGCTCGTCATCCACGTGAAGTTCGGTCGTAACAGCCACGAGGACCTAGTCAGCCATGTGGGCTAAATTACAGGAGGCAGTTACGCCCTCTACCCATGATTTCAACACGTTAGTTATGTGTTAAAACCCTATAAATAGCCATGAATAGTTATGAAGAAGGGACGGAGGAGATCAGTTGGCAACTTGAGGCAAACTTTTGGAGGATTAGATATTCCAAGCGAAGCTCTCATGCACAAGCCTTTGGGTCTCGACTTGTTGTGAATTGAGTCCGTTGTCGTGAATTTATTTTCACTTCGTACTGGACGTAACAAGTGGGACATTTGGTTCGGTTGGTGTCGACTCAGTTTTGGAAAAACTTCACCGAGGTGGAGAATTATAGAAATGGCAAAAACATTGGAGAAGAACATGTTTTTTGGAGCTGGCAGACATTTGGGTGCTCTCGGGTCGACAGTGAGCTTTGGCACAGTCGACCGATAACGTGCACGACTTGGTACAGATTCTGGATCTTTGGCTGGTCGTCGCGACGATTTCGACGGTCGACCGCCAAACCCTGTAATGATTTTCTGGATTCTGTTGTTTTGTTCGGTCGACCGCGAGCTTTGGCGCGGTCGACCGCGAGTCGGGTTCGGGTCTGTTTTGGTTTTCTTTTCTGTTTGGGATTTGTGTTTGGTATAAATACCAATACACGTTTTAGGGTTTTTTGGTTTTGATTGGGGATTGAATTGGGGATATTTGGAGCACAGAAAATAGGTATTTTCTGAGCTATTGATTAGGGTTTTTGTTTGGAGAGAATTGGAGATTTGTTGGTGAGATTAGTTGGTTGGTTTGAATGATTTGTAATCTCAGTTTGTACTCTTCTTCTCTATTAGTGAAAACCTCATCCCCTTCATGCCCCATGGACATAGGTAACTTGCTGAACCACGTAAAATTAGTTGTTTGTGTTTGTGGTGTTATTTTGTATTGTTTGGCTTTCTCTCGGCGTTTGATTTGGTTCCTTGAAGCACATCGGTTTTGGCTTCTGCGCACAACACCCCTTATGATTGAGCAGCTGTTCTATTGTGGAAATCCAAATGAATGGTTGATAGGATGGAAAAATTGTTTGGTTTTCAAGGTAGCCTAATTGTGTCAGTCTTGGATATCCTCTTAGGATTGTTTTATGGTCATTTCAGTCATTCGTCTCCAACTAGATTTGTCTACATTGATTATTAACTTTATCTTGATAGGGAAATACTTGACAAAAAATAATACCTTATTGCGGGTACCTCATGTTGAAAGTATTGTTTGCTAACTTTAATAGCCAACCATTATGCACAAGTAATCATCGACATGAGTTTCTTGATGAAGTGAATCTTTGCACACAACAGTTTTAAAGTCAACATGATCCAACTCACTGAATTAAAATACAGGGAATTTTTAAGTTGATCCCAGAATTATAATCTCCTTTCACCCTCACATTGCAATCAACAACTTTGAACATTAGCAGTCGATACAACAACAAGGGTAAGTTTACTAAGTACAATGTTAACTCTAATAAACATGTTTTACAGGACAACGTACGTATTATAGTCCAGCACAACATATATTGGACCACATCACGCGCTGTTGTAGTATTGATTAAGTATCTTTATGGAATTCATATTGTCTCTTAAAAATACACACAAATAACGTATAATATAGAAAACCATTGATACTAACTGATTTAGGTAGGAAATGCAATTCAGAATGAAAAAGCAGAAAAAAAGATGAGGGAACGACTCCCTCGGCTCGGATGGAGGGTTGTGAGGGAACCGAGTTCTTGGTCGAAGAAAAGGCTGCCTATGGAGGCGGTGGTTGTGGCGAGCTGGGGGTTGGGAAGAGAGGTGGCAAAGGCGGGAGAAAAGGAAAAGACGGCGGTGGTGGAGGGGGAGGAGGCGGTGGCGGAGGAGGTGGAA